TTTCTCCAACTGTACAAAGTCGTATAAAATTCCTAGAACAGTGCTTTGCACATCATAAGTGTATTAGTTATCTATTGCTGTGTAACAGATTACCCTAAAACTTGGTGGCTTAAAACAACAAATAATTATTATCTCACAGTTTCTCTAAGTAGGAACTAGGGCACACTTTTGATCAGTGTCTCAGGCTCGGGACCTCCGTAACATTGCAGTCAAGCCATTCATTAGCCCAGGCTGCTGTTTCATCTGAAGGTGAGGTGGGGAGGAGCTGGGATCTGCTTCCAAGCTCATTCATATAGATGCTAGCAGGCCATGTGGGCCCCTCCACAGGATGGCTTCACAGCCGGGCAGCCAATCCCCGCCCCCCACTGTGAGTAACCCTGGAGAGAATGTTCTAGAGCATCCAAGATGGAAGCCAGTTTTGTCACCTAATCTTGGAAATGACATCCCATTGCCTTTGCTGCCCTCCGTTTGTTAGACGAGAATGGCTCAATCTAGTCTATACTCAAGGGGAGAGGACTATACATGGGCATGAATACCAAGAGGTGTGATCTTGGGACCCACCTATGACAGTTACTCGTGCTTTAACTTGTGTCTTATGTCCACATGTCTGTGAATTTCAAACTTTCACATCCTACTGGCTACTTGGTATCTCCCATATCCTACTGTCTATGTGGTATCTCCCCAGGATGTCTATTAGGCAGCTTAGACCTGACATGCAAAAATGGAGCTCCCAACACCTGCTTCTCGAACCATGATCTTTTCTGTTTTGGTGAATGGCAACTCTGTTCGTAGAGATGATCTGGTCAAAAACTTGAATGGATCCTCCTTAACTCTTTTCTTTCTCTTATACCACTTATCAACTTGACCTTCAAAATATATTCTTTCTCTTATACCACTTGTCAACTTGATCTTCAAAATATACCTAGAATCTCACCAGTTCTCACTACCTCCTCCCCTAGTAATAAGATCACCACCTTATTAGTCCATGTATGGGGTGTCTCACCTGAATTTTTGCAGTCACCTAACTGGGCTCCCTGTTTTTAGCCTTATCCCCTTTTGGTCTCTTCTTCCCAACAGACAGAATGATCCCTTCAAACATAAGGCAGATCTTTATACCACTCCATTCACAATTCTCAGGTCTCTTCCTGTGTCACTTGAAGTAAAAAAGTCAGAGTCTCTGTAATGGCCTACAGGGCCTCTCATGATTATAAAATTATTTATCTGTGTTTAATTGTATAAAATGACATATATATGTATAATAAATACCCTATATATGTACATCTGTGGAAACACACATTTGTATGTTTAATTATTTATTAGAATTTATTTTCTGAATTGTGTAAGATGGGGATCTGACTCTTTCCAAATAAAGAGCTAATTTTCCCAGCCCTGTTGATTAACTAGAACACCCATTCCCCACTGAAGTGGTATTTCACAATGAACCTGTTAGTTTCTTTTTTTTTTTAAAGATTTTATTTATTTATTTGACAGAGAGAGACACAGGAGAGAGGGAACACAAGTGGGGGGGAGTCGGAGAGGGAGAAGCAGGCTTCCCGTGGAGCAGGGAGCCTGATGCGGGGCTCAATCCCAGGAACCCGGGATCATGACCTGAGCCGAAGGGAGACGCCCAACAGCTGAGCCACCCAGGTGCCCCTCTTTTTTGTTTCCTATGCTTTGTCTAATTGTTGAATTTTAGAATGGCGATGTACCTAACAGGTCATGTAAGATATAATTGTGTTTTTTTTTTTTGTTTTTTTTTTTAAAGATTTTTATTTATTTATTTGAGAGAGAGAATGAGATAGAGAGCATGAGAGGGGGGAGGGTCAGAGAGAGAGGCAGACTCCCCGCTGAGCAGGGAGCCCGACGCGGGACTCGATCCCAGGACTCCAGGATCATGACCTGAGCCGAAGGCAGTCGCCCAACCAACCGAGCCACCCAGGCGCCCCAAGATATAATTGTGTTTTTAGAGATCTCATTTGATATGGTATACTCCAACACGTATAAAAGCCGCTTGAATTTTAATTGGGGATTAATTATGGAGAACTTTTACTTATATCCCTTTATTTGATAGATAAGGAACTAATTCTACTTAGGAGATGGTGCTTAAATTGAAAAATCCAGTTAGTGGCAAAACTGAGATGAAAAGAAAGAAAGAGAAAAAAAAACCTCATGGGTTTTTTTTTGTTTGTTTGTTTTTTTAAATAATTATGTTTTATTTTTTATTTTTTATTTATTTATTTTTTATTTATTTGAAGAGAGAGACACAGCGAGAGAGGGAACACAAGCAGGGGGAGTGGGAGAGGGAGAAGCAGGCTTCCCGCCGAGCAGGGAGCCCGATGCGGGGCTCGATCCCAGGACCCTGGGATCACGACCTGAGCCGAAGGCAGACGCTTAACGACTGAGCCACCCAGGCGCCCCACCTCATGGGTTTTGAGCCACTGTTTCTGACACATGTTGATCTACTCCGCTGCTGCTGCCTATTTATAAGTGTTTCAGAAAATTATCACAAAAATGCTTATCGCATTTCAGACCCTGTAAGGATATCATCTGGATTGGAATTCTTGTTTATAAAGATAACTTTCAGTGTTCAGGCAGATCTGTGAATGCTCTAGTCCCCTGGTGTTCTTTTCTTCTTTCTAGACTTTTGGTCTTATCTCTATTTATAGCTTCAACTGGCAAACAGGAATGGGTAGGCGAAGGAGATTAAACTCAAGCCAGTTTGTTTTGTTGGTTATTAGCAGCACTGCTGAAAAGTTGGCTGAAAGAGGAAAGCATATTGAAATTATTGCTTAAAAGGAGGGGTATAGAATGTTCAGTGGTTTTTCTTTTGACAAAAGTCCTCTCCCACGTGGTGCATTATGTGTAATTGAGGGTCGGCTCTAGATCACAAAATGAATCACTTCCAACTCCTTCACATCTACAGAGGTAAGAATGGAAAGTTGTCACTTAGATCAGGCCTTGTTCCCCCTGTTTTTCTGTGTTTTTTTTTTTTTTCTTCTCTCCAAATAGTGTGACTTGCCCCTCTGGACACCTGGCTTTGGCAGCCAGGGAAGGGCCCTGAGCTAATGAGGGAGCCATTCTGCCTCTCCCAGATAATTTTGCTCCACGTGGTGACAAAATCTAATCCAGAAATGGATGTCTTTCTTTAGGCAAAAGCAGCACAGAAAAAGAAAGAAAGAGTACCGCGAGAAGGTACTGAGCTTCGGGTAAGCTTTTCGAACCAACACCATACTTGGCATTCAGTGAGTCAGTGGGCATGAGTGATTAAACCCTGAGTTCGCTCAAGGCCCAGATTAACTTGTGTGCCGTCAGCCACCCTGGGCCGGCAGCTTCTTTGCAGAAGAACTGTGAACCAGACGACAGAGACCCTCCCAGTTAAAATACCACGACAGAACACTGGTAACAAATGAAAGAAAGGCAGCAGTTTATTTTTAGTAAAATAAGATTAATATCAGCCAGTAACGCGCAGTGGGCTCGCTTAAGTCTTCCTCCTCCCTTTAAAATTCTGTTTTTACCCAAACGGTAAGATAAAGACAGTTTGTCATGCTTTGAACTTCCTGGCTTATGTTGATTTGTAGCAATATGTTACTGTTACACATTTGAGTGGGAGCGGAGTTACATTTCATGAAAGCCGCTCTAAAAACTAATAAAATCGTGACAACCCCACTTTCAGTGGGTATTGATAGCATCAAGAAAATAAAAAAGACTGCCATTTTCAGGCAGTCGCTCTTCCAACTAGACTGAAAATATAATGGGCTTTAACTCAACTCACTTGTTTAAACATTACCCAAGAGCAGCTTTCTCTTCCTCCTCAGAAGTTCTGAGTGCCTACACGCATTTAACCACAGATAGACACAACCCCCCAAAAGTTCTTCTCAGACCCTTTGAGTCTTCTATAAAGTAATAGCTTCAGAAGGCTTTCAAGGAATTGATTATTCACGCAGTCATGAGGCATGAAGGTATACCCTCTCTCTTACAACCGGGTCATGGGATGATGACCTGGCGGTGGCCTCAGGACCTTTGGAGATGCGTAGGGTTTGGCGTCCCAAGCGGGATGCAGTCATCGTAGTGAGAGAGCTGGATGGCAGTCTTGCAGTGTGCTTTCAAAAACAGATGAGGAAGAGCTAGCAAGAGGCTAGAAGAGGCTGCAGACATCTTTTGAAGACCATTTCCAGGCTCAGATGGCCATTGTCAGAAAACGGTGGGGTGGACTTGTCTGAGCATCGGGGGAAGCTAGAACAGCACTCGGTGACAAGTGAACATTATAAGCTCACAAGGCAGAAGAGAACTTTTCAGAGCCACACATAGTTCTAATGTGTAGGCTTTTGTCAGGTGCTCTGAGTAGGATAAAGAGGCATGCATATTTTAACCAATCATTTCGTATTCAGCGTGTGAAGTAAATGCTACTTCCAACTTGGCTGGGGCAGTTCTTTACCGAGATGTATCGAGTCAGAGTGAAAACCCATCAATTACCTATTTGTGGTGCAAAATAGAAAATTTCCTCTTTCTAACACTGCATCTTTTTTTGGTTCAATCCTAACAGCATTTAAAGATATTAATAGTAGCTCAGTGAGTCTGAGTCTTTAATGGGCAGAATCAGATGAATTTTAATTCGAAACAAAACTTTCTCCTCTTCCTACCCTTGATGACTACACATCAGTTATCTTGAATTATTAAACATTGTGAATCCTTCTCTGTGTACTTATTTCAGTTAGTAAGCTTGAAATTTTGCGGGCATGTTCCCAGTGGTATATATCATAATTTTCAAGATGTACTACCTACCCCAGCAGGTGCTCTGTTTCTTTCTTCCTCCCCCGCTCTAGTATTTCAGGGCTCCATAGGTAGATGAGTTGTGTGATTGCTTCGTTCTGATAATTAACATGCTTGTTTGAGGTTATAAAATATACATCTGAGAGAAGCCAGGGATTTCCCCCTGAATACCAACTAACTGCTTGAAGTGGCATTTTTCATTCTGACTTGTTTTGTTTTCTTTTCTGTAGCATACTGGAGCAAAATGAAAGAATTTATTCTGAGGCCTCAGAAGTCATGCTGCTACAGACCATGAGCAAGAAGGAGTGGACTTCAGCCTGCACGGATGGTCTTCAAACACAAACGGCTGTGGGTAAGTCATCCAAAGGACTTGGCATTCATTAGCTCTAGATTTCATCAATCATCGTTTATTATCGTGTCTCAGGACAGCTTATTCAAGTGCCTGGCTATTTCTCTACAGCCCAAGCAACAGGTTGTTTGAGAAAATGTTGTTCTAGTGATGGAGAGCCAAGAGAACAACGAAATTTACTTAGTGTGTTTGTTCCTGAAATTTGCAAAGCAGTGGGATCTGAGTACATTTGTGGTTAGAAAAGACCAAAAAGGAGGGGAAAAAAAATCTGAACAACTGAACACACAAATGACCAACAGACTAGGTCTTCCAGACATTGCTTTTAGCTGAGAGCATAAGGAATTTATCACACACGAGACCGTCGATTTGATCTGATGGCAGATTTCTTACCCTGTAGTGAAGTATCAGGGTGGGGAGGGTGAGAGGCACTGGGGTTTTCCAAGTCTTACTCAACATATATTTATTGAGCACCTTTTAACTACATATGGTGCCCCTTATGAATACACCCTTGGTCTAGGGGTGGAATTCAAGGCTCCAAACTATAAAGAAATAATAAATGATACCAAGATATTGTGGATTTCCAAGGAAGTTTAATCAGCCTAGTTGACCGTAGTTCTTAGAAACAGTCCTCAAATGGAAGCCAGTTCTCCCCACCTAACTTGGTGACCTCAGCCAACTTACTCATCCTTGGGGAATGGGTCACTTCTAGAAAACTCCAGTGTGTGCCTCAATGACCTCCAAGGTCTGTTGCAAATCTAAAAATTCGACAGTTCACTCTGCTGAAATTAATTAAACAATTATCCCCTTTGATTCTTAGCCGAATTGATTGTGAGTCCTTGGCAGGTCACCTTTGGCAGGGAGGCTCATTGGACAGGCCATTGTGGAGAAAAGGGGCCAGGTACTTTGGGGTCCTTTCTCCATACTTGTCTCTACGATCTTCTGAGCCAGGCCTTTGGTCAAACAGGCCTTGTGGTGTCTGTGGTTAGTGATGTATTCCCTTGCAGCTTTAAAGCCAACGTAGCACATTGTTACGTGAATAGAATAGAATAGAACAGAATATTGTCATTTAGTTTTCTTTTTTTTTTTTTTCTTTAAAGATTTTATTTATTTGACAGAGGAGAGACAGCGAGAGAGGGAACACAAGTACGGGGAGTGTTGAGGGAGAAGAAGGCTTCCTGCTGAGCAGGGAGCTGGATGCGGGGCCCGATCCCAGGACCTTGGGATCATGACCCGAGCTGAAGGCAGCCGCTTAACCGACTGAGCCACCCAGGTGCCCCTGTCCTTTAATTCTCTGTCGGGGATCTCACTCTTCCTTCTCTGTTTGCTATCACTGTCTTACGGGTTATCTGCCGGTCCCTTTTTCCTGTGGAGCCCCAAACTTCGTTTTACATAGAACAGAATTTATTATTTTTCTTTCTGACTAAACATCCCTTTTCCAAAGTGAGCTATGAATGACACTTTAAATGATGCTCAGATGTCACTCTTGTTAGCTGCTGGCTCTCTGCCTCCAAGTGGTGCCTTATTTGGGTTTTGTGACAGCATTTTTTTTTTTTTTTTTGGTCTTGCAAGTGTTAAATTATGAAGTGCAGGAAACCACATGAATGTGGTGGAATGAAAAGGCGAACATGGTGTTATCTGGAAATGCCAGTGTTATGGTTCTCCTGGTGACGGTCACCTCCCTGCACTCAGCATACGAAGCCTGTTTACCTGCTTGGTGGCAGTCTTCCAACTCCGGTCTTGATCTTCAGTCATGCTGTCTGCCATGGCCCCCTTGTCACACTGAGTCAGGAGGTTTGGTTAAGATGGTTGCACGAGGCTGTCTCTTTCTATGCAGCTCCTGCCTGCCTGCTGAGCCGGCTCGTCCACAAAGTCTTCCTGGAATGCTCAGGCCTCTGTGCACTCCTGTAACATTTAGAACGTGCAACCTATGGGGACGCCCGGGTGGCTCAGTTGGTTAAGCGTCTGCCTTCAGCTCAGGTCATGATCCCAGGGTCCTGGGATCGAGCCCCACATCTGGGAGCCTGCATCTCTTCCTGCTGCTCCCCGCTGCTTGTGCTCGCTCTCTCTCTGACAATAAATAAACTCTTTAAACAAAAAAGAAGGTGCATCATTAAAAAAAAAAATCTATGGATATGTAGTGCTTGTGGGTGTTTGCTACCACCCCGTCTGGGTTGCAGACTGCCTAAGGGCAGGAATCCGATCACAGCCCCGCGTTTCTCAAAGGTGGTCTAGCCCCAGGATCTCCTGCAGCAGAGCCACCTGGGCATGTGTCCTAAAGTTGCAGATTCAGCAACACTAGGCTCAATGAGTCAGAATTTCTGGGGATGTGCAGCCCGAGAGACTCGCCGCAGATAACTCTTCTGCACACTGAGGTTTGTGGACAGCAGTGTGCGTCTACTTGCTCATCCTCTGGGCCTCCTCACCTGCAGCGTCGGCTCTAGATCTGAGCACGTCGTAGGTGCCCAGGAAGTATTTGCTTGTTGATTTAAGCAGCACCCAACTATGGTGGTTGCCTTCATCCTTCAGTTGCTCTTAGCCTTTTCGGGATGTGAAGTCTGCATATTCTCTGAACCCTCAAAAACCCCGTTTTGTCCAAAGGTGTAAAGTCCCCTCAGTCAGAGGCTGTTCTGGAAACCTTTCAATGTCTCCTTCTCTTCAACCAGTGACTCTGACTGCCCCCTGTTAGGGGCGGCGACTCCTGCTGCATACGGCCCAGCAGTCGTGTCAGCTCCAGGGAGAGGGGCCCGGGCGCCAGGACAGGAGGTGGATCTGAGGGGGGAGCGGTGCTCTGGGATCCCAGACGCTTCATCCTCCGATCCCAAGGCCACGCCTGCTGCCCTTGGCAGTTCATCGTGAATGCTGTTTCTTTCAGCTGTTAGGGCTCGCAGGTTGTCCATTCCGGTGGCAGGAGAGCGATCCCCTGGTGAAAAGGGATCAAGTTAAGCTGCGGTGGACACACATGAAATCATCCTCAGTGCCAGCAGCAGATTCGGGATTTGAATCTGATGACAGCAGCCTGCGGTGGTGACCCCGGGCCCCCCTCCCTCCCTCCCCCACCTGCCCCAGCAAGGGCAAGCCTGGCCTTGGATGATCCAGGAGAGATTTGCAGGGTGGCATCACTTCTAGTGCAGCTCCTGATGCCCTTGCTGGCAGGTGCAGCCCTGGGAGGAGATCAGACGGAAACCAAACAGAAGAACTCAGAGAAGTCTAGCCAGCCGGTAAGGGAACCAGTGGGCGCATCGGGACATTTATTAGCTGTGAAGACAACCACTACTGCCTGCATCAAAGCTTTTTTTTTTCTTTTGCAACTTTTGTTTGTTTGTTTGTTTTCACTCTTGCTTCGTCACAGTTTTACTTAAGAGAAGGTGTGTCGATCTTGAACTGTGTTAAAAGGCACATTCAGGCACAGGGACGGGAAGCGTCTTCTCCCGGGCGTCCGTCTAATCCTGGCGACGGGAGGTTTGGGGAGCGGGAAGGTATACCAGAACGGATTGGGAAATGGAGTTTTGTTTTTTTTTTCTCATTCTCAGCTAAGGGAGGAAAACAAAGCGCAGTTTCCAAAGCAATATTTTTTTTTTTTTTTTTTGAGAGAGAGAGAATGAGAGA